TGTTAAGACAAGGTTCAGCATGAAAATATGAGCAGTACACAGACATGGTCAATGCAAGATAGAGGACCGACAATATATACTATAAGCAACCATCAAAAATGGATCATCTAAGAGCGCGAAATTAACAACAATTTTGGATCATAAATATACCACTCCTCAGTGAATGAAGAAACTTAACATATTAGGTTTGTCTTGACTATAATTAAGTAGCATGTGCCATGAGTTCTTTCAATTATGGTCTGTTGAATATACCAGGATGGCTGAGTTCCTATTCCACATGAAGGCAGTATCCAATAAAGCACGTTATGACTAGTGCAATGTATGACCTCAACCAATATCTGAACAACAGTTGAAAACTAGTGGCAAGACAGGATGTGAAAAGTTTAAAGTAGGTTTCCAAGCAATGTATATGTCATGTATATGCCTCAAGCAAGGCAACTTTCCATAGCCTTCCAGTTTCCTTGTTGGTGAAATCTCACTGGCATCTCTTATTTGGAGGGATAGCTCAGTTGGTCAAGCCAAACTATGCTTTCAGCAGGCACTTAGGGTTTTATTCAGGGTTAGGATAAGAAAACCACTGTGATGGATAACCATGCTTCAACATTTTTCTCTGAACTGAATCACTGTCTTTTACCTTAAGCAGAATGGAGAATGACCATAGAACAGAGACAACAAATTATACAAGAGAGGACCATATTTTTCAGTTCCCCAGAGTGCTGATATTTAATTAGAATTACATCCTCTCTATAGGAATTCATAAAAAATCAGAAGGTTTCCTCAGAAATCCTCATTTCAGACTAATTCTACATAATAAATGGAAGAAAAAGGGAATTTACAGGGTTCCTATGTTATTCTAATAGCAATCTTGGCTTGAGCGAGATAATCCATTTTTTGTCATCTTCCCACCACTACCACATATCTTATCCTGAGTAGGACAAAGTCTTTTTTTCAGAAATAGAGATTCTGATGTACCACAGAATAACAACCAGGATTTAAGATCAAAAAGAGGAAATGCAGAACATCATACTCATTCCATTTTTCAAAGGTGAAATGGCTTCCATATTCTCCCGTGGAACTCTCAGGGCATTTGTGTCTATGTAGTATGTTGGCCCGCCTTGCTTGTTTTTATCACTGTCAATCTCCATCATGGAGCTTCCATCATCTCGGTCCAAGACCACCCCAATGGCAGTAGGGAAGTCCACCTACAATAAATAGTGTGGAGACCAAACATATAAGGTTATACAATGATCACCTGCTTTGTATTATTTTAACTAGCCTGGGTATTATGAAAAGGCGTGATTATCCATCAGGATCCCACATTTCCATAGCCTTCTCCTGCCACTGAAGATCAAGATGGAGTTAACCAATTATATGGCTAGGCCAAAACATCAGATGCCTTAGGAAATGTTTCTGCTACAGTAAGTCAGTTATTAGCTATGGGGTTGTATGGATAAAGATTGGAATCCAAGAGAAAAGTTCTGAAGAAACCGCATAATGGTAGATAAACAGTTTGCAGGGATATGATCTTAGACAGCAAAAACAACACTGATATGAGCAGCAAAAGGTATTCTTTTCCTGGGTAATAGTTATTATTAATAATTAGATTTATAGGCTGCCCTGATCTGTTACAACTGTGGGCAGCTTCCGAAGTGCAACAATAAAACACAGGACATATCATCTAAAAGAAAGCCTGGAGAAAATCAACAATCAATTAATAACAAAGAAGGGTCAATCCCTGGGTCCCACCAGGTGACACTGTTTAATTGATGGGACATAGAGCATGCCAATTAACCAAGCAGATATGACAAATAAACACATTACTGGACCACAATTGCTCAGGAGATGTTCTGCTGTTCATTATATAGAGCAGTGTTTCTCAACAACTTTAAGATGTGCTGATGTCAACTTCCAGAATTCCCCGCCAACATGCTGGATGGGGAATTCTGGGAGTTTAAACACTGATATAGAGCTTTGCTTTGCTATATTATTAAGTTATGAGGGCTTCTGGCTTAATCAACCACTTCACTTTTGTCCTTACCTTTGGGCAATCCTCTCCAGCATAGCCAGCTCTCACTGTGCAGGAGCCAATATCAAACACCAGTGCACCAACTTCATCTGCAGACAGAGAGGTATCATTGGAGTTTATTTAAATGCGGTATAAAACCACCACCTTGTTTTTACTGACAAAATATTCTAAGTCTTGATATAACCACCAAGAAGACAGGGAGAAAAAGAAAAACTGTTGCCACCCAGAGACACCCCGAATGAATGAGTTTCTTACGTATACTAGCAGAACTTACGTACAGAAATAGTGTGTTGTGAACTCTCAAACTTAGCAGTGTTATAATCCCCTAAAATGATAAATCAGTTTGTGTGATCCTCTCCTTGGGAATAAAACCAACCATTTCATGGGGGTTAGGATGGAACAAAAAATAAATATACCATGTACTTTTAACCATTACGTTTTCCTCTATAGGTCAAATGAAATAACGACAGTAGCCTCCAACTTTATAAAAATAAGATCTTTTTCTTGGAAATAATGAAATGCTTTAAAACCGTATTTTTCAAGGGAAGGCTAAACTACCTTCGTTTTACCCTTCCCTGTTTCCTGAAACAGCATATTCTCCAGCGAGAGAGACTATGCATCCACCCAGTGTTGCTGAGAGTCGGAAAGCATACAAGCGTTATAAATTATTAGTAGCAGCAGCAGCAGATGACACGGGTGACATCGATGCAGAGCTTCGGGCAAGGTGACCCTCTCTCCCCCAGCAACACAGGCATTTAGCCTGATGGAGCCACTCTGCATACAAAGTCTCGGGGGAGGGGGGTTCCCCAGTATTTCTGCAGCACCCCCACCCCCCC